TCGAATGCCAAAATGTGATCGAAACTACTGTGGTTATCTAGAGTAAATGCAATTAGATCAAACAAAAGCCCGTGGACACGTGACGCTTACCTTCCTCTTGTTGTGGTAGGTGATGTACACGATGGCCACCAGAAAGGCGATGATGACCAGATGAAAGAAGAAGTGGGAGTCTTCATTCTGGGTGGTGTAGATGGTTGTATCTTTGATTTGAACATTTATTTCTTCAGGGGAGTAAAGGTTTTTCCTCACTCCCTCGCTGTCTTGAGGTGACGTAATGTCACTGAAGTTTTCATCAATATCACCATCTTCGCCATCTTCATCATCATCATCATCGTCGTCTCCAAAGCCCATGTCTGCTTCTGTAGATGTGCGGTCGGCCATGTAATCTGAGGTGCTCTCTGTTTTGTCAGCTGCGGGGGTGGAGACGGTGGTGGGCTTGTTTGCAGGTGTAGTGGTGGGCTCTGCTGGTTTGTGTTTGGTGGATGTGAGCTGGTCTGGAGTGGTTTTGTGCAGATCAGCAGTCGTAGGTGGAGCGGTAGGAGTGTCTGCTGATTTGGTGCTGATAGCAGGAGCTGCCGTCACATTCATCAACTCGACCGATTCCCTCCGAAGACTGCCGTTCTGGATGCTTGATGTGTTCTTATCAGGTTCTATAATGATGGTTTCGCTTTTATTGCCTACGGTCATCTGAGCCACACCAGCTGTGGGTAAAAAAACAAGCCACATTAAGAGCAATTACTGTGATGCTTTAGATTACTTACAAATGGTAGGCTGTTACTGATTCCAAAATACATGACAAAAATTGTAGTTCGTAACGCAATCCATTAAATTAGACATTTTAGGTAATATAATCATATTACTTTTGACCGAACTCATTTATCACATTAATTTAAATACGATAATCTTGTGCCATAATGATATTAAAAAAATACAAAAAGAAAGAAAATATATTCCATTCGTTGTGCATTAAACATTACATTACGCCAAGGTTTCCCAAACTGGGGTTCATGAAGGTACTGCAGTGGGTTTGAGAGGTTAATGAAATGCTAATATTTAATTTCATCATAAAAATATATAAAGTTTGAAAGACAAAAAACTTCCAAAGACAGTAATACATAATAAATAACCCACTGAGTGATAATTCAAATAAAAATGAACGTGTTCATTATTAGTAGTTGATGCAATGTTGAGAAAACGCTTATTAAAACTGAATTATTTCTGTAAATCCAGTGGTCAAATGTTGTGTGGTCTCTCAGTTTTCTGTGTAATTATAGTCATCTGATTAATGATTAATATGTACTCATGTAATCCATAATAAGGTAAATGTAGTCTGATTACAAGTATTTTAAAATTCAATACAATCTAACTACAAGTACTTAATTTTTGCAGTCTAAATGCATAATCCAGATTACATGTAATCAGTTACTACGCTCTGTACATTTATTTCCTGCGAATGAATAAAAGCCACAGTTTGGAGTCTTGCCAATAGTAGATGATGATCTAAGTTTATGATTCTGGCTTATTAAAGCATGCATTACAGATTCCTTTGAGTGGAACGGGGATGATTCATTAGTAACACAAGTGATTGTAATTTTTTTTTAGGATAACTGACAAACTAATGTACTTTGATTTGTATTAGTTATCTATTTTAGTTTTAGTTACAGTTGTAGTAATGTTGTCATTTTATGAGTTTTTTATTATGTCTATATCGGCTTTTTATTAAGTTTTAGTTTTATTTACTTTGAGTTATTTCAGTACTTCAACATACAAAATGGAAATGAATTAATATATATATATTTGGATGAATATTATGTAATAATTTTAGGTCTAGTGTTTATAAATGGCATAATAAACTATTACCGCCCTCAACACGAGGCAAGATGATCTGTAGTCACTGAAACCAAAACCAGATTGACCAGATTTTCATTTGATCTCATGTTACATTTATTTTCAGTGCTGCAAAAACAAACACTACGACTAATATGGAATTTAAAAAAAAACTAATTTGTCAGGAGAGACCGCGTAAATTTATGCAAGCCTGCAATTCTGTCAGGATTAAAAGATATAAACAGATTTGTGACTGAGGTGTAAACTCGTATTGTAGGTTACATAACTCTGGTGTTTACGGAAGCGTGACAGCTGCGAAACTGACCACGTCACACACAAAAACACGACACTTCCGGTATTACAATCAACACTTAGAAGGCTTGTGCGAGTTAATATTTATATAATATTTTGTAAACGTGACATTTATCGGTTCCTAGACACAAACATTTGATGAGAAAGACGTTTGAAAACTACGTGGGGTTCATTCACACGGAACACGGGCTCTTTTCGGTAAATAAATGACATTCTGACATAAAAAATGACATCCTGTTGAAGTTTAGAGGGACATCCTCCACTAACCTGCCGGTGCCGGTGCCGGTGCGCAGCTCACAGAAACGATCTGCAGTGACAGTAAAACTGCGAATATTAACGTTGCGTAGTCGCCGAATCCCGTCTTCCGCACCGCCGCCATCTTCAGCGCTGTCATCATCAGTGCGCATGCTCCGTGCTGCCTCCGCAGACAACACTATGTACTCATATGTTGAGTATGTAGTAGAATAGTATGCAAGCGTCTGGACAAAATACTTCTTCACAACTGCGTTTTTAACGGACGCGTTTAACGGACGCGTTTTTCTGTTGCTTAGTTACGTGCATTCTGTCACCGTTTAAACTGCCCTGTCAATCATCTTATCACATCATCCACATTTCGTTTAATTTCCTACCATACTGGAGAGAAATGAAGAGGCGTGTCCTTCGTGCCGAGAACTCTCCACACGTGTTTGTATAACGATACATTTAAAAGTTAATGTCCAAACGTATCTTTATAAAAGTTCACAAGGTTGCTGCAGATTAAATATAACGCTGATAACATTACATAAATATTTTTTCTTCAGGTTAGATATTATTTATCACTCAAACCCGTCCGTCGGTCTCGCATATCCGCCATGTTTGTAGTTTTTTAACGCGTGTTTGTAGTTCTAATCGAATCCTCGTCCAGCGCGCAGTGTTGTGAGCAATATTAGCCGTTAGAGTGTGCATCGATCTGCACTTCGAATCTTAATCTTTAGTAGTAGACCATCCGGGGCACTTTGGCATACTAATTTCAACATACTACGATTTGGGACACTCTAATTCTATTTTCGACTACTATTTAGGACCGATAATATGCGAATTAGGACGCAGCAATCCTTTCTATTCAGATACCTTCATTTGGCAAGGTCCAAGATCATTTACTCACTAATTCACTACTACCTACAATGGGATCAAAATTAGAGAACAATCTATAAATACTTGATTTTTTTCTGAAATATTACGCTTCATCACTCAAAATTTGACGAATATCAGCTGTGGGTTTACTACTATTCTACTAACATGTTTGACAACATAACCAGAGAATTTCAAGACACAAAAAAAAAGGTTTTTTTTTTTACTTTTTTTCTGAAAAGCACTAAAGGAGTTAAAGCATTAAAAAAAAAAGTTACCAATAATGTTGTAATTACACATAGCTCCATGCCAGCCTTGTGGTTTCATCAATAGTATTAATACAATGGATATTAATTTGATTTTTGTGCTCATCACAATTAATTATATATATATATATATATTTTTTTTTTTTTTTTTTTTTTTTTTTAAAGAGGATATTTCTTTAAAAGAAGTATGCTCAAAGCATATTGTCCGAACACCTTGAATAAATGCGAGTGTATGCATCTTACATTGACAACAAAAAAACAGATAAATGGCACACTGTAAGCTATACCAAAGTCTTTGAGTACCTACTTCAACTTCTGTTTATAAAAGTTACAAATGCACATTTAAGGAAAAAACTACTATTAGTTATTATATGCAAAAAGACTGATTTTCAGAGTAAGACACCAAACTGCACAGTTGAGTAGTGTGGTCCAAGTTGAAATGTTTTATTCAATGAAAGTATCCATACTGCCAAACCCACAGTATTCTAATCCTACATTTAAAAACGGAAGACTGCATCCACCTATTCAGATCTTTTGTGCTCTACCCAATACGTCAGAAGCTGGTTTCCAACCTCCTTTAGTTCGGGGAGAGCTGAAAGAGTTTTGCCATCAAAGGTACAGGCAGTATGCAGCGGAAAACCCATAATGGACGAGATACACATGTGGTTTCACTCACACAGACGAGACAAAAACACGAAACGCACCCAAAAGTCTGGTGTCTACAACTAAAGACGTGAAGCGCTCCTACAGCAGCCCTCTGAGTGTCATCTGTTACACACGGGTCCCTTCGTTCAAGCTTTGTCGGGGTGAAAACCGTAGATCAGGACTGTTGTGACCTAATATTAGTGTTGTCTGATGCAAACGTCTGCATTTCTAGACGCTTCCCAAAAATTAAACATCAGTAAACTATTCTGTCATGATCAACACTGCAATAAATAATGTTGAGTGTATTGAAAATACATTTTTCCAAGCCATTTCTAAATGCTCTTCTTTCGTTCTGTGTGACCTAGTAAATATGCATTTGCTGCATTCTCTGAAGAAGTGAGCTATCACTTATGCATTGTTTGACAAGAGTATAGTGCGTGTCCTTGGCCAGGGCATCTAAGAGAAGCACGGTGAGGGTAGGTATTCAAAAAAAAAAAAATATCAAGCCAGGGTTATTGCAATCCTCGGCTTCCTATGCCTCGAACTCCAGACCCAAACCCAGTTTGTGGCCACCTGCGTTAATGTTCTTCCCATCCAGAAGAGCAGAAAGGGTCAGCTTAATACCTGAACCGAGAGAAGAGGGAAAAAGTTAGACAAGGAACGATCACATCCAAGAGAGCTTACTGAAAACAACAGAACGGCATATACACTGCCATAGTTTGGGTTCAGTAAGATTTTAAACGTTTTTTAAAGAAGTCTCTTCTGCTCATCGAGGCTGCATTTATTTGATTAAAAATACAGTAAAAGCTGTAATATTGTGAAATATTATTACAATTTGACAAGAGTATAGTGCGTGTCCTTGGCCAGGGCATCTAAGAGAAGCACGGTGAGGGTAGGTATTCAAAAAAAAAAAAATATCAAGCCAGGGTTATTGCAATCCTCGGCTTCCTATGCCTCGAACTCCAGACCCAAACCCAGTTTGTGGCCACCTGCGTTAATGTTCTTCCCATCCAGAAGAGCAGAAAGGGTCAGCTTAATACCTGAACCGAGAGAAGAGGGAAAAAGTTAGACAAGGAACGATCACATCCAAGAGAGCTTACTGAAAACAACAGAACGGCATATACACTGCCATAGTTTGGGTTCAGTAAGATTTTAAACGTTTTTTAAAGAAGTCTCTTCTGCTCATCGAGGCTGCATTTATTTGATTCAAAATACAGAAAAACTATAATATTGTGAAATATTATTGCAATTTAAAATAATGGTTTTCTATTTTATGGTACTTTAAAATATAATTTATTTCTGTGATCAAAGCTGAATTTTCTTCAGTGTCGCATGATCTTCAGAAATCATTCTAAGATGCTGATTTGCTGCTCAAGAAACATTTCTGATTCTTTTAAATGTTGAGCTGCATATTTTTCTGGAAACTGAGATGTAGTAAAATATGGATTAAAAAATAAATTGAATTATTCCCAACTTTTGACCACCAATGTACATGAAAATAATAAAAAAACAACGTAATTTAAAATTTTATAATATTTCACAATATTACTGTTTTACATATTTTTGATCAAATTAATGCAGTCTTGGTGAGCAGAAGACACTTTCATGTATGGTATGGTGTAAAAAGCAGCTGTCATCTTTTGCCGCATGATAGCAATCGCAAGTAAGTATTCTGCCATCTTTGCAGGAATGTAATATGCAATTGTAACATTTATCTTTAGCAGCACTATGAAAGTGAACATTAGGCACAACAATGCCAGTACAAGCGTAGATATCTATGATTACAACGTGTCACATGACTCAACATGCATCATCATTTTGAATGCCTCTGTTTTCACGCTCCAAACTAAAACATGAAAACGGACTATTCAACTGTATCCACTTGAGAAAGAAAGCATCTTCAAAATCTGGGTCTCAATAGCTATGTTTCCATCCAAAGTTGCGAATTTAACTTCTGTGCAAAATTGGAATATCGCATGAAACATTTGCGAATAAGCACCGTTTCCATCCAACGAGTCAAAGAGAACAAAATCGTCACTTCCTGATAAACTGCCACTAAATATCGCTATGAAAAGTAGGAGAAGCCACTGGAAAAGCGAGCAGACGAAACACAATATATGCGCTCATTGCTTTCGGAGGCGGATGCTGCTGTTTGGGAACGCAGTCGTGTTAAGACCGTTCTGGGAGGCGATTATACAGCAATACTTTGACGACAGGCTTTAGCTCAGGCACTGCAGAACGACCAAAACAACATTTGAGATGCTGTGCAATGAGATCGGTCTTTTTTAATGCACAGAGGAATTTATAGGGCAAATGCGTTTCCATCTCCCATTTTTACGCATTAACTCTTTTAAAAACCAACTCAAGCGAGTGTAAAAGGGATTTTTTATTTTTTTTCAAAATTTGCCGTTTCTGAAGCGATACTTCAAAATGTGCATAAAAACAGGGTCATGAAAACATAGCTAGTGTGGACCAAAGGTCAAATGTATCTGGATTAATGTGGACGTAGCCTCAACCCGCCCAAACACACTTTCCCCGAAGTTCCTAGCAATCCTTGCGACTGTGATTAGTTGCTTCAGCTGGGTTCAATTAGGACTGAAGCTAAACTCTGCAGGATAGTGACCGTCCAGGAGCAGGAGTGGAGCTTTAAACGGTTGCATATGCATTTGAACAGGTTTAATAAACTCTGTGCACCTGATTCACACTCACCAGGCTTCAAGGTTTGAGTATATCCCAGGCCGACGAGGCTAGAATTATTCACTTTGGCCTGTAAGACAGACAAACCATGCTTGACTGCAAAAGTCACTGACGACAAACATAACAGCACTACATTTCAGCCCTTTCAGAAAGCATGGGCTTATTTTTCATGACCAGCTGAACATCGTGAAGACCAGGCCCTTCCTAGCTGAGCATGCTTCACAACAACATCTCATCCAAACTCTTGTCATTTTTAGGCTACATTTACACTAGGTACGTTTACATGCATTCATTTGCTAATCAGAATGAATCCAATCCGATTTCAGATTCGGAAAGTTCTGCTTTATATGACCCCTAAAAGTTGCAATCTGAATCCGATTCCGTTTACATGTGCATTACACGTATTACTGTTGTTATGATTATTCATGAGATTATACAACACGTTATATGTTTTTTTTATTAGCGTGCATTATTATGCATTAAGAATACCCTTATGGTGCATTATAAATGCAGGCTTCTTCATCTGGTGTTACAATGCATCATACTCGTAAAAGTTATAACCACAAATAGGTTAGTATTATAATGCATTGTAACTGTTATGTTTATTTATCAAATGATACAACAGGTTGTTTATAAAGCATCATGCATGCATTATAATGCATTAACAATACCCTTATAATGCATTATAAATGCAGGCTTCATGGAAAGTGTTACCAGACTTATTGCACTAACATTTTGAATTTCAGGTTAAATTCTGATTGCATTCTGCTTGGCTACATCACGTTGTGAAAGCGTGCTATTCATTAACACTCTTGTTGTTTCTTTCCCGTGCACAAAAGTTAAGGTTTGGTGCAATGAGGCCTTTAGTGCTGGGGATTTTTTCAGGTTACATCATTATGCCATGAGAAATGACTGCCTTGATCAGTGAAAAAGCAGCATGGTCAAAAACTAAAAGCGGCAATGATAACTCACCGAGAAGGAAGCATCGGCATCGATCTGATACTTGGCAGTGATGCCAAAGCGGGTGTTGCTGTTGCCGACGGTCCAGGCCAGGTTGACCGCCGTCTCCAGATTATCATTCACTTTCTGGTAAATGGAGCCACCGAATTCTGTTCCATCATTCCTGCGATTTGAAAACACATCTTTTAATTAATAAAATGCACTGAAATGCAAAAAGTACACTGTTTCATCGACTAGATGATCATTTGTTTTCAACAATCAATTTCACTAAATCACATAATGGAATGCAAAACAACATTTTGACTATACTTCTATTCCAAAGGATATTTCAACTCGAAACACGTTTCAATCAACTGAAAACACACAGGGTTTCTGCAGGTTTTATTAATGTTTTCATTCTCCACTGACAGATATTTGTTCTTGTTTTAAGCATAAATTCACTTAATTTTGTTCAGAGTCTCAGAAAACAAGACTGTATATCTTCAGTTTGCATCTCAAATAAAAGTAGAATGTTTTATGGCAATTTTATAGATACGAATTTTCAAATAGCAGATTTTTTGTTCTGAATTCTTAGACTCCAAGTATCCCGTTTTTAACAATAAGCTTCAAGTTTTCAAGATGAAGAAGAAATTTGGAACACCAAATTCAAAATTCTAAAATTCAAAGATGGAATTCAATCACATTGTACAGTAAGTGGTTCAGAGGTCAAGCTTCAGGGTTAAACAGGAAAGAGGGTCTAGGAGACGTCTTTCAAAATGTTTAGATATTTGTATTGCAAAAAAAATAAAGTAAACCACTGAGAAAGCATGCATACTTAATGCCATGACTTTATGAATTTTAAGACTTTCTGTTCCAACTTGAGGCCTTTTTAAAGCATTAATTTATGGAGGGTTTAAATAAAATAATTTTTTGATGTTATAAAATAAATTGCAGTATTTTTTTTTCAAGAAAATACTATTTTATAAAAATAAAAAAAAACATGTTTATTAATTCAGTGTCTTACTTGCCGTTTTTAATGTAATATAAATAACAAAAATAAAAAAAAAAACAATTTTTTTACTGCATATTTTTCATTAAAAAGGTTGCAGTGTGTCTTTGTTATATGCAGCCCTAAACACAACTGCACACAACTCACTCAACTCCTTAAGATTTGAGCTTCAATGATATAAACAAGCACCAGACATCAGCATGCTACTTCCTGCTGCAAAGCCCTTGACAAATCCAATCGCCGGGGAATAAACGTATATATAAATAACCCAGCTTTCCAACCTTGAGACCGCTGGAGACAGACAACAGACTCGCTAGCGTAGGTCTGACGATTTTGCGTTTGGTACATACACGTTTGTGTGGAGCTGGAACTCGTCAGTCTTGTAGCCCACAGCGAAGTTGCTCTGGGTGACCCGGTTCCTCCCAGCCTCGAAAGTCATCTGGTATCCGGCCAGCCAGCCCTCAAAGCCCACGACCACGGCTCCGTGCACCGTGGTGCCATTGATGTCATAGTCCACATCACAGCCCAGGTTGATGTGCTCGCGCTGGTAGCCGCTCTTGATCTTCCCGCTCTTCTTTCTATGGGAAGTCATTAGAGAAGCCAGTGAAACGTCAGAGGAAACTGTGCCGAGTTTGTGTAAAAAACCACAATACTGAATGCAATTCATCACCTGATATTCTCATGTGCTTGTTTAACTAGGGCTGCACAACTAATCAAAACTGAAAATGCAATAAGGCTTAGCGCGATTATTAAATCACTAGACTGAGATTTAATTCAATAAATATATGCATGTTTCCGAGTGGAGCGCAGCACTGTGTTCATTTACACGTCAGCAGCTCATGATCCCCGGTGCGTCTCAGTTCACAGTAAATGATCCACACGAACATGAGTCGCTTTAACATGCGTTTGGAAACACACACCAACCCGTCTTCACAAACTTCTAATGAGAGGTGCTTATCAATGCAAGAGAAGCTTTAAAGGGATAGTTCACCCAAAAATGAAAATGACCCCATGATTTGCTAACCCTAGGTGTATTTGACTTTCTTCTTTCAGACTAAATTATTTTCATTTTGTGTTATGTTGTATACGTTTAAATGTCTGTGTTGGTTCATACTAACCTAATTAAAAAGCAAATTTTATTTAACAAAAAAGTGGGTCTCGGCTTGATGACCATGGGAAAATGTGGGTCCCATGAGCAAACCAGTTGAGATAAAGCATATCACAAAATTTGTGAATGCCTGCAAATTTTTTTATTGCATTTTAAATCACAATTATTATTTAAATTTTTTTAGGACAGAGAAAATAAATTATATTATTAAAATAATAATAATAATAGTAACCTGCAATTCTCCAAACTGTGCAGTTCTAGATTAGACTCACAACCAAAAACTAATGCATCCTTCCCTTTATATATTACATCTATACTGGAAATGCCAAACATCACTACAGCGACACTAATTGTGCTGGAGCACATAGTGAACAAGTCACATACCCAGTGTTCGGAGAAAAGGAGGAATCAAACGTCAACTTCAGTCCTTTAGCCAGCTGAGGAGAAGAAAGCAGCACTCGTGTTAAATGACAAGAATGTAATTCATATCCAATCAAGTGGAGCTCAGCTTTCCGGGTCTGGTACCTGGTCCTCCAGAGTGATCTCCGTGCCCAGAGTGTTGTCAGTGTTCCACTTCTCAGTGAAGGTCAGGCCGTGTTCTGCCCACTTGTACTTGGTCTCCAGCGTTCCTGCTACCTTGCTGGTCTCTGTGTTGGCCGAGCCGGAGCTCTTGAACTCCTACAGCACCAGGTGAACAGATGCGTCACATGCTGAGAATTACTGAAACTCAAATGAGCCAAGATGCGATGTTCAACTCCTCTAAGACCCTCTTTCCGGTTTAACCCAGAAGCTTGACCTCTGACCCACTTTCTGTACAATCCGAATTTCTGTATTTTGAATTTTAGAATTTAGAATTTAAAATTTTAGAATGAATATTGAATTTGGTGTTCTGAATTTCGCCTTTAGGCTAACGGTTAAAAACTGGATATCTGCAGTCTAAGAATTCAGAACAAAAAATCTGCTATTTGAAAATACATATCAATAAAATTGCCATAAAAATGATCAGTTGTGTTAAATACCAAATGTCCAGAATTCAAGTTTTCTGATTAGACCGTTAGCATCTCGCTCAAAAATGACCAAAGAGTTTCTATATTTTTCCTATTTAAAACTTGACTCTTCTGTAGTTACATCTGACTCTTTGGTCATTTTTGAGCGAGATGCTAACGGTCTAATCAGATTCAATGATCTATGCTAAGCTAAGCTAAAGGTGCTACCGCCAGACCCTGAGATCAGCTGAATGGATTCGAAAACGGTAAAACTCAACTGTTTAACTCTAGGGGAGTCGGAAAATGAGCCTATTTTTTCAAAAATAGTGGAGTGTTCCTTTAAAACTATATGTGACCCTGCCTGTGAAAACCCAGCTAAAGTCATTTTTTTGTGATTTACTGTTTTCTACATAAAATCATCCTTCATAAAGATGTAGAACATTCTGTGAAAATATAACCTTTATATCTTTAATATTGACTGAGTAAGGCCATGTCAAAGTTTGAAATCATAGTGAAATTAATGGTTGAAATCAAACTTTGATGCTTGTTATCTGAACTCATAATTAGATTTTGAGACTTTAGTCTGGATTTTACACAGGGTCACATATAAAATGCATTGTACTATTCAATTTTTTTGACACTTGTCTATAATTCAAAATTACACAACTCTAATCACTTTGTCATATTTCAGTCTGCATATGGATTACAGCATTTGCAGAGCTAGAGTTAGACGAGGACATCCGCACACACACGCCTTTCCAAGATAAACATCCATGGGTCAATTAGTGCAAACAAGTATGAAAAAACGTGGTGCACTTCCATGTTCATCTGATGGTCACTATCTGCTTCTGAGGGCCACAGATTAATTCCGTCCATTGTAGCGATCATGTAGTTTTGGGTTATTATCTCTGATAGGGCCGGGCTGACAATATCAATTAATCCATCTTCATTTTGATGCAACTATATGGATAATAAAATTCCAAGATGGATCTTTTAATCTATACTGTTTTCCGTTGATTAACAGAACTTCACTAACATTATTTGTAGCACCTGCCATCCATCCAATAAACGCCATGAGCTTTGTGTTGCATCACTTTTGAATAGTGGTCGACCGATATATCGCCAAGGCCGATATATCGGCCGATATTTGGCATTTTTCAAATATCGGCAGATAAGTTTTTCTGTTTGGCCGATGCGTTTGAGGCACATCTTTTATTTTGACGGCATGCCGGCTTTTATTTTGACGGCGTTGAGAGCATCAGCACCTGGGCACACAGTGCTCACATTCTCCCTCTTGTTCGCCGTCGTCGTTAAGTTCTGTCTAATACGGATAGAAGTCTGTCTAATAATCCGATAGAACTGTTAAACAAAGGAATTAAAATGTATACAAAAAGTAATATAACGATTGCTTTTATATTATTAGTAATAGAAAGGCAAACATTATAATACTTTCTCGTTTGCTGTCAGCATTCAGCAAATATGCATTTACATCATTTAAACAAATCTTTGAATGGCTAATGAAATTTTAATTTCACAAACCTTGCAAACTTAGTCGAATCCAGTTGTGAGATCTTGTGAAGTGTGCATGTGACCTGCATGATCGCGTGTTCTCTGCGTGACTTTCGGTCCGTGCAAATTGAATGCTTTAAACATTAAATTCATGATTTCAAATTATGCTGCGCTTTATGCATCTGCCCTCTGTCGTATTCATGTAATTTTTACTGTGTGCTGTATGTAAAATGAGTGTTACATTGGCTTTATTTTGGAAAAAATATGATTCCCAATGCACACAAACTTCCCAGAATAGCCTGAGTGCTCTGTTGGTTACAGTTTACTTCCTTTTTAATTATATTTTTATTAAATATATGTATTTGTAAAAATACTTTGTCATCTAAAGTATAAGTATGTTTATTTTACAAATTTACTTTTTAATCCATTTTCAAATGATTTCAAATTTCTTAAATATTAATTAAAATAAATACAATTATATTGGCTTTATATCGGCCACCCTGCTTTCCAAGATATCGGCATCGGCTGTCAAAAAACCCATATCGGTCGACCACTACTTTTGATATGAAACAACGCTTTCAAATTCTGTCCATTTTTCAAGAAAATAATAGCTCTAGAAAGATTCATTTTGCTAAATATATGCACCGGGGTTATTATAGTTAACAAAAACTAAAACCATTAAGAAAAGCTACTTAAAATAAACTTTAACTGAAATAAAAAATATGAAAGAAACTTAAAAATGTTTAATTTCAGCTAGTTGCCAAAGCAACATTTAGTACATTTACCTTGATGTACTAAAATAGCAAAAACTGAAATAATAAGTAATGAAAATTATATAGACATGAAAAAAATAAAAAAAACAAAACTTTAACTAAAATTACAATTAAAACAGAAAATATAAAAATAAACACTAATTAAAAATATTATATAATAGAATCGCAAAAATACTAAAATAACACTGATCTAACACTATAATACATATTAATTTGATTTTTAATCAACCTGTTAGTAATATCTTTCATCTATTTTGTATTTATGTTTATATGTACGTCTGAATAAATCTCTCATGAAAACAAGCTATTACAGCCACTATTTAAATTTATTATATTTCAACAACAAATTGGAGTAGAAACATACAGAAATTAAATATACAACCTTCCTTATGTGCAATTAAAACATCTGTATATATCTTTTTGAGTGTTTGAGTGAAAAAAAAAAAAAGCAAGTCAATTTTGGCTCTGTTGTTAATTTTAACCTTAAATATTACAGTAATGTACCAAATGACAGGCTTCCCTGTACAGTATTTTACAGCTTTGAGACATTTTATCTATACAAATCAAGAGCAAACATTAACCATTCTGGCTTTTCAAAACGTCACATCAGTAGTGTTTCTACTGTATGATTTCAATGGCATCTGGAGAGAAATCACATCAATATTTCATCAAGTTTGGACTGAAATCCACTGGCTACTTACCAATCCATTCTCTGACCTCGTTTTCAAGTCCAACTTGATCAGACCAAAACCTGCAAATGACACATTGCACATCACTGATGGCAGAAACCGATCCGCAGTTTCACACAGCCGACAGCAAATCATTTCATAATATCATTTTATTTTAGTGTGAAATAGTTTTTCCCTGTCTGCTGCGAGGAGTTTTAATAGAGCGCAAAAGTCGGCTTCCCAAAGAAAAAATCCCATTCACTTTCTCCACAGGGGAATTCATTTAAGGCTAACTTATAATTTACCATTAAAACAGACCTACTGTGAGCCACAATGTTGTTAATCGATGGTTCGACAAGCGTATGCCAATCAGAACTGATGATTTCAATTTATTTTCTAAATAATCGTGTTCACCAGCGGAATTCCTGGTGAAAAATAACAACAACATTACCCATGATTCTTCTCACCAATCAGAGAAGCGAAATACATAAATCACGCCAAAAGAACTCTTTAGCTCCGCCCACTGACAAAGCACTGTGAATGATGTCATCGAGTCTCCCTGCACTCGCAGAGAAACTATATGCATAATTTGATTTAAAATCATATTCCTATATACTATACATAATCAACATCTTTAAACTAATAGTTTTATATTTCTCTACTGATATTTTGAGTACGTCCTGCACAATGCTTCATGGGATTGTAGTTCTTTCCCCTCACACTAAAGCTGGTCACACTCTTGTTTTTTTGTCTGATATTTAGATGCTTTTTTGCTTCAGATCAATGTTTATAGGATCATGGGCAGACACTAACATATTGTAATCCATTACTGATTCCAGATTACATGACACAAATTGTAGTCAGTAATGTAATCCATTACATTACACATTTTAGGTAATATAATCAGACTACTTTTTGATTACTTTTGAGCTAACTCGTTTATCACATTGATTTAAAGGGGTCATGTGATGTTGCTAAAAAGAACATTATGTTGTGTATTTGGTGTAATGCAATGTATTTACGCGGTTTAAGGTTCAAAAAACACATTATTTTCCACATACTGTACATTATTGTTTCTCCTCTATGCCCCGCCTTTCTGAAACACGTCGATTTTTACAAAGCTCATCGTTCTGAAAAGCAAGGTGTGCTCTGATTGGCCAGCGAGCTAGTGCGTCGTGATTGGTCGAATTCCTCAAGCGTGTGACGGAAATGTTACGCCCCTCACCAGGTTCAGGAAACTTTCCTCCGTAAAATGCGCTAAACACATCTGAATATTTGGGTTGTACTGTTCTGGAACAGTGTTGTAAATACAACTTAACCACTGATTTTAATGAAAGTCTAATTAGTTACATTATAAAAATGTAAAAAAAAAATTAAATAAACCTTCCACAGACATTGTAATACATGGTAAATAACCCACTGAGTGATAAATCAAATAAAAATGAATGCATTAATCAGTAGCTGAAAACGCTTATTAAAGCTGAAATGATTTTTGTAAATCCAGTGGTCAAATGCAGAGTGGCATCTCAATTTTCTGTGTAATTATAGTCACCTGACTAGTGACTGGTCTTTGTGTGAATGTCCACCAAACTGGAAGACTGGAAAACTGGTGTGCTTTTTTAAAAAGGGAAGGTATAATAGATGATAAAGAAGAATCAATAACTTATGAACAGTGGTGTAGTGGAGGGTATACGCAGGTATACGGCATATACCCACTTCTTTATTATGAATAATATGTAATCAATAAAAAAGTAACTCTAATCCGACTGTGTGCGCTCAGGTTTGTGTATTGTGCGTGTATGCAGCTCTAATATAAAACCAGATGAATTCATACCATATCCTTTGGTGAAGATGTCCCTGGCAGACTTGCCCAGGTCTACATATGTTGGAGGAACAGCCATTGCCTGAAACAGAGAGAGGTGAAGAAGGTCAACCAGAGGTCACGTGAACAGTCTGTCATTTCACACAGCAAATCACAATCAACCTCATATAAAACCCACTGACCCTCTTCAGCACTTACTGAGGAACAAACTGCGTTTTCATGACATCCCGCCTGCCTTTCGAGTATCTGTGCATGTGGAAAATCCACATTATACTGTGACTAGAGAGCGGTGACCAATCAGAAACCTTTATTAGCCGATGCTGATCATCGCAAAATGGCCAGATGCTGGCGGACATATGACTACTTGCATCACACCCAGGCCTGCTCCTTCAACACACCATACATGATGCATGCGAGTCTCTGAGTAAACTGAATGCGAACGAACAGCAACAAAAAATAGCAGAACACAATGCAAACGCTGATCTGCGTGTGAAGGAGACGAGGAGCTCAATGGCGCAGGTTTAGGCCACTATCAGAGCAGACGGAGGACAGATGAGCACACAATCAGCCCTTTCCACTCATGCAATATTTGGTGAGACAGGCGTCGTACGAGCGCAGGATAGATACATGCAGTTTAACAGTGCGAGTTTGATCACGCTAGCATACAGTCGGAGCACATTCACACATGCGGCAAGGGCACCAAATGCATCAGTTGTAGCATTAACGACTGATTCAGGCCCTGCTCGCGACGTTAATGCGCCGCATCGCCACCGCACTCTCTACAGACTCACGCGAGAGCCCCGGGCTTTGACGTTTACCGCAGGATGAAGGTCTTGCAATTGAACAAACCTGTGTGCAGTCGTGAGGACAGGACTCAGCCGAGAGCATGCTACGTGCAGAGAACTACGCCAGACGCACGCAAGAGCGTAACGCACGCAAGCGACGCCACGCCTGCAGAATAATCTTGAGCTTCATCTCAGCGGATTCCACATCTTCTTCTTTTTCTTGGCTTTTGCAACTTGTAATTATTGCATATCGCCACCTACTGTACAGGAGTGTGTAAAGGGAATGGGGGGGGGGCATAATTTCGATATGAAACTACATCTGTTTTTTTGTTTTTTTTATGAGGTTGTAAGGAAATATTTATTTATTTGCTTACTTCTCCTTATTAATGTTTCTGTCTGTTTAAATTTTAATAATTTTTTTAATCATTGTTATAATTTTATTTATTGTATTTTAATGTATTATTTAGTTGTTGTAATTATTTTGATTACATATATATGGCAGTGACATAAATTTTGTGCTTTGCAAAGTTTGCTGCTTCAATATTTGTAGATTATTTTTCCACATGTTTCTATGGTATACAAATTGCTCGTGGATCGTTGGAAGAAGTTGCTCTTGCAGGACATTTTGATACCATTCTTTATTCATGGCAGTGTTTTGGGGCAGAGTTATGAGAGAGCCCACTCCCTTGGTTGAAAAGCAACCCCACACATGGATGGTCTCAGGA